TAGAAGATGGCAGAAGACAAAGTTTGAAAACTAAGCAGGACCTGTGTCAAGAAGGGCTTTTTCGCCATGTTAAGGAATTCGGGCTTTTTGTTTTATTTTAAGTTTTGGTATCCCCAAATGCCAATAACTGAAGCTTATTTAAACAGAGCTGCTCTGGTTTAGGTGGGGTTTTGAAGGTTAAAGCTCCTTGGTGACCCCCAGATACTTCCTAGAAATGCCAGGGCTTCAAGAAGAAAGCTTAAAAACCATGGCTATGGATATTGCTGAATTATTTTGCAAGGAAGTAACATGTTCAGACTTGCAGTTTTAAAAAATCACGCTTGCAGCAGGAAAATTCAGGAAAGGCATGAGATTGACACAGATTAGTTTGGATATTGTTGCATGGCCAGATGACAGATAGGCCAGAATTAAGCCTATGGCAGTGGGGAAGGGATAAGTTTGAGTCATATTGAAAGGACTGGCAGGATTTAGTGTTGAGTTGTTGGGAGTGTGGGGATAGGAAAGGAGGAGATTGGGATGACTCCTAGGCTTCTAGGTTGGGTGATTACATTGATAGTGGTGCTAGTGACCACTCTAGGGAAATGCAAGAAAAGAGTGCTTAAGATGAGGAAAGAGATTGGTAAGCAAAGATGATCAGTTCAAATTTGAACAAGTTGGGGTTGAGATGCCATGTTTGAGGTGGTCTGTTTAAGAAGAAATAGCTAGTAGTTGGCTATAAGGGGCAAGAGCTCAGAGGGGAAGTCTGCTTGAAGGTAGAAGTATAGGTGTCATTAGTCTACAGGGGACACAAAACCATTGGAGGGGGAGGTCACCCACACAGTGAGTAGGTGGAAGAGATGAGAAAAGAACCAAGGGCAGACATAACTCTGGGATAACAACAATTGAGGGTCTCAGGATGAGGAACCTACAGAGGAGACTAAGAAAGATAGGCCAAAGTGTGGGGCAGGGGCCTAGGAGAGAGGTGCTCAGTAATGCAGAGAGGTCAAGCAAAAGCAGGACTGATTCTACAAATAAAACTCACCCTCAGAGGGTAAAGATTCCCTACCATTGGGGATATGCAAAAGAATATTGTCTCTTGCTCTCAGCATATATGGAAGTTTTATGGTTGTGATCGTTTAGTGCTTGCCTGTTTTCCTTTTGAATTTTTTGATTTAAAGTAATGGACCCTTGCAGGAATCCTTTTGTTAAAACACCACAACCTGCCAAAAACCAAAACCCATTGCCGTCAAGTTGATTCCGCCTCATAGCGACCCTATAGGACAGGGTAGAACTGCCCCATAGGGTTTCCAAGGAGCTCCTGGTGGATTCAAACTGCTGACCTTTTGGTTAGCAACCATAGCTGTTAACCATTACACCACCAGGATTTCCAGCACAACCTAGCATAAGGTATATTAGCGGAGTTTAAGATAATAATCGGTAAATGATAATAATCCTAGTCACATGTACCATGCAACTGGTCTAAGAGCTTTGTATGGATTAATTAACTCGTTTATTCCCCATAAGAACCTGTGAAGTAGGTTCTGTTTTCATCTCTGTTTTGCAGTTGTGGAAAGTGTTTACAGCTTACAGCCAGCGCTCCTGAGAATATTCTTTGCCCATCCTTGCTCTGGCCAACATTTCTATGAAAAAGAGTTACTAATGAAATTTAGCCTCCAGAGCGTGTTTCCTAAACCTTGTGGTTTACTTTCTTTATATTTTGAGGGAGAGGATGTTTTTGCTAATAGGGGACTTTTAAAAATTGGTACTTGTTTGAAAACAATTCTGTGTTATTGCTAATAGGAAAATGGCTTATTACCATTTCTTGGGTAAAGTCAACCCTCAAGAAGCTGACACTGTTACAAGGAAAAAAAATTATTAATTGTCCAGTTTAAAAAAAAAAAAGGATGTTCTTTTGAACTCTGAAATTTCCTTTTGTGCAGTGACTTCTTTTCACCCTAAATTTTATGAAATACTGTACTTTAGGGTCTGAATGCTGAAGTTCACCTCTCTTCTTTTCAATTATTTTAAAATTTAATTAATTAATTATTTTTTGCCGTAGCCGAATAGTTTTCATCATCCAGATATATTTCTCTATATTTTTACTAACTACTTATTCATTGGATGTGCTTGATCACTGATTGACTTGTTTTTTGTGTTCTATCTTGTCCTAAAAATGCAAGGGAATTAACTCAAAATGGATCATAGACCTAAATGTAAGAAGCAAAACTGTATAACTTCTAGAAGATAACATAGGGAAAAATCTAGGTGACCTTGGGTTTGACAGTGAGTTTTTAATAGAATACAAAATGCACGATCCATGAAAGAAAAACACCTGGTATTTTAATTATAGTTAAAAATTAGTTTCCAACATTTAAAACATTAGTTTTCACATTAATATTTTTTTTCCTATTTTCTTTGGAAATTCAGAGAATCTGGCATCATTGAGCCAGCTTTTCTGAATTGCAAAGTTGGCTGGAACTAAATAGTGGCTGCCTTTTTAGAGGTAACCTCTGCTTAACTCATTCATGTTACCTGCCTGGCCCCAGTGGGTATTTAAATTTGCACCCCCTTCTTCAGCTGTTTGGAGACTGGGTTTCGTGCAGGGAAATTGCCTAGAGAGGTTTAGCATTCCTCCCTATGCTGGTAGACTGAAAATGTTGTGGCCATAGAAGCTGAGGAGAGTCCGGTTGGGTATATGTCTCAGTATAGTAGATGTAATACTGGACCTAGGAGGCAGAGTCAGCGTCCTTTTCTTAGTTAGTGATAGTCAGGTCATCTTGGATCTGTCACAGTGGAGATGCTCTTTCCTGCCATATCTACTTGTATCAGTGTTCTTGACTGTAAGCAACAGAAATGGATTCTGGTGAATTTAGGCAAAGTGGGACTTTATTGAAAGGATATTGGAGAATTCATAGTATCAAAGGAAAAAAGAATGATTTAGACTCAAAAAGTTCAGGAAACCAGGAATACTGTGAGGACCACGGGTGGTAGAAGCTAAGAAAATTGATAAATTGCTTCCAAATATTTTCCCTTTCTTTGTCATTCCTTTGAATAGTTTGAAGTCCTGGAAAAGAGATTCAAGTTGGCCTAGCCCACATCCTTGATAAGGGTGAGCTGAGCACCTTGATTGACAGTCCCTCCAGTACTGCACACAGGAAACCAAAACCCAAACCTGATGCTGTTGAGTTGATTCTGACTCATGACAACCCCATGTGTTACAGAGAAGGACTGAGATCCATAGAGTTTTCTTGGCTGTAATCTTCAGTGAAGCATATCACCTGGACTGTATTCCACAGAATCTCTTGGTGGGTTCAAACAGCCAACCTTTCGGTTAGCAGCCAAGTACAAACTGTTTTAGGCACCCAGGGATCTCTCTGTATACAAAAGAAGAAAGGAATTCCCAAAGAGGAGATCTAAGTGCTGTTACCAGAGGAAGGGGGGCCAAGTAGGGATGGTAGGCAACAAAAACAAGACATTCTTGTTCACTACTCTTCTCAGAGTTGCCATGGGTATATTAAATATGCACTAGAAGATGCAATACGGAGTAAGGAAGTAGTCTGTCAGGTTCCATGAGAACCAAATTATATGGGAGCTCTTTAAGTAAACAAACGTATTGGCATCAGTTACATAAGGAATATATTGAGTGACTAGAACACAAAGAGTGACAATTTCATTTCTTCTAGCAATAGCTATGGTTACAAAATCTCCAAGGAAGCCACACTAAATTTAAATTAAAAACAACTTTTATGAATTCTATAGGTTTCTATTCCAGTTCTATGACGATACATGCATGTGATGAAAAGTTCTATGGTTAAACCTTGCGAAGAGTTTGGTCAGATTTCAAATACCAGTTAAATACTTTTCATTGTGTTCTTAGTTGTTTTTATAATGGTACATAAATTTAAGTGTTTAAAATACATGTATACAAAAAGAGCATACAGGAGTATGTTGGAGGTAAAAATTGAAACTACGATTTCAGATCTGAGTTTTTTTTACTAAATTCTCTTCATTAAACAGGATATGATGTGCTTCAGACTCAGCAGCTTCTAAAAGCAGCATCTGACATTTCCCAGCGCTAGGTGGAGGCTTGAGTATTTTCACACTCACCTGTAAGCCTGGAAACCCTGGTGGCATAGTGGTTAAGAGGTGCACCTGCTAACCATAAAGGTTGGCAGTTCAAATCCACCATGGAGCTCCTTGGAAGCTCTATGGGGCAGTTCTACTTTGAGTCGGAATTGACTCCACAGCAGTGGGTTTGGTTTTTTTTTTTTTTCTTTCTGTAAGCCTAGTTTCTTTTAAGAACTCTTCTTGTGGCCATAGAATAAATGATTCTTCCCCAAATCACTAGTCTTCTACATCTAAGAATCCCTGAAACTCATTTGAAATATCAGTATAACTGTGTGCAGTGGATTTTCAAAGCTGGGAAAATGTTCATTGATACATAATGCTTTTAAAATTTTTGTGGTCTTGTTTCTTTCTATGCAAGATCTTGATTTTCCACAAGCAAGCAAAAGGAGTGAGCCTCTCCCCCCGCCCCCCCCAAAAAAGAAAAGAATCACTGACATGGCTGGAAATAGAAATTAATGATTCAAATAAGAGAGGCAGAGCGGAATGCCTCAGCTGGGTGGCAGGAAGCAGAGAGAGGGAAAGCTGGAGACTGCTCTTTTTTAAAAAGGCAAAACAAACAACTCACAGTGAAGTGTACGTGAAAATCGTTTCTAATAATAGCTCATGGTAAGCAATTCCCAGGGAAAAAATCGTGGGTGCACTGAGAAAATTAGAGGGAGAATGCACAGTATCTTGATGTGTTACTTAAGGCAATGGAGCTTTTGAGTTTACCTTATGTGCCATGTACATTGATTAAATACAAAATATATGCTGGCCATTTTTGACCATCATTTACTGTATTGATTTGTTAGCAGGGGAAGTGTAATAAAAAAGGCATTGATTTACTGTCCTTATTTGCTTATGGGCTTTTTTTTTATTATTAATTTTTCACTTTTTTGGATCATTTCTTCTAGACAAATGCTGTGCTTCGTGAAGTTAGAAAAGAGGGGCTCCCCGTGGAACAAAGGAATGAAATCTTGACTGCCATCCTGGCTTTGCTCACCACCCGGCAGAACCTGAGGAGGGAATGGCATGCCAGGTTAGTGCAGAATGGAATGAGGTTCGTTGTCCCCCCAAAACAAGATCTATATTTAGTTAAACCTTTCCTTTTGGCTGGTCTCATCCCTCTCAGTTGTGGGCCCATGAAAAATAAGCAAGTTTAAGATGCCTTCAGCCAAAGGTAGCTTTCCTGCACACGGTACCTACACTAATCGTACCGCTCCATGATGTCATCCATATTTGTATATGATTTATCCCTGAGTATAACATTTAGTGTACAGGTTTGCATTTTGAGCGTAATGTAATGTAAGTACCGGATGCTGAAGAATCCTTTTAATCAACAGTCTAAAAGGCTAGCATTTAGTTAGGACAGAGGTTGAGAAATCCACACAGTACCCTTATATCACTCGATGAGGGGTGGATTGCTTGAAGTGGTCTATTTATCAGCCCTGTTTTTAGAATTGACCAAGTAGGGGGATTACTTGTGCTTCAACCTAGTTTCTTTTCACATGGACTTATCTGTGGTTGGAGAGCTATTACTGGTGGAAAGCTTCTACAAATCATCAGTTTTTCCAGGAATAATGCTTGCATAGTAAATATCATGTTATACCGCTCTTATTTGAAAAACAATTGATCCGTGGAAGGCTGGAACTACTTCCTCAAAATGGTGGGGTTATCCTTTAGATCTGTAGCTCGTAAAACATGTTGAATTATTGTGTGTCTCTAAGCGAGAGGGAGAGGAATCAGGAGGATTATGCTGTATTTGTCTCAGAATCTTATTTGATGCTTAAAAATTCTATGTGTCTGGGAGTCAGGGACATTTATTGATAGCCATAATATTCTCCAAATGAGTTCATGCAACAGTATCTACAATAATTGATAGCTTCACTAGTACAATTATCATAAAAATAGATTCCTCTGAACAAGGCTGAGGATGAGCATTTTCCAAGGAAGAAGTCAGTAAAGTATATGAACTGTCGATTTTGATTGGGTATCAGAAAGCTGCTTTTTCAAATATGTGTATTATCTCTAAGTTCAGGTTCACATTCAAACAATAATTTAAAAATTCCCAGTGATATCCCCCGCCCCTTTTTTGTCGTGTGGTCAGAGTAGGTGAGAGACAGTTTAAACTACAGTAATTAAATGATTTCCAATTTAACTTCTAAGAATTAATTTTTAAATTTTCTTTGTATTACAGTCTAGGTATGTATATTCATTAAAGTAAACACATTTTATTAAATAATGGAGTAGCTGTGTTGGGACATCTAAGAGGTTTCTCTTTCCTCTCTCTCTCTCTCTCTCTCTCTGTTTGACCTTTTATATTTTTCCCCCTGGTGATTCTTGTTAAATAGGAAAAGGCGAAAGAAAGAATTCCCCTAATCCCTCCCCAGCCCCCCATCCCTCCATTGACAGCACGGCACAGAGAGACCAAATGTTGAGAATGATGTCTTTTGTATAGTGCATTTGGTTTGTTAACAATAATTTCCTAATACACCAAATCATCAGACAGCATGGCCAGAATGGCCTGTTTAAAAGGAGTCTGGTTTCAGTATTTCTGGCCCTTACTGCTAACAGTTTAATCAGGAGCTGGAGCCAGTGGTGAAGTTGATGTAGTCTAGCATCTGAAGCAAAAATTCTCAAGTCCTTTGTGGTAGGGGAGGAGAAAAGAAAGAGCTTAGCAGCTGACACTATGCAGACCTCCTTAAAACTAAACACCTGAAAGAAAATTTCAAGAGGGTGATGTCTTGAGAGCTCAGAAGGAAAAGTGTCCTTAGAGTATTAAATAACCATAATCCTTCGCCCACCCCTTCTCCTCCCCCATTTGATGTTTCCCATCCTGGTGACCTATCTAAAAGACTCATCCATATGATCTGTATAAACAGACTGTTACCATACACCCTCCTTCCCCGCATCAAAGCTTCATCGGGCCGTCTGGAATCGGGCATTGCCTTGAGTGGCCATCAAGCATGTGGTGGTGAAAGTTATAAAACATCCAGTGCCATGCGTACTGAGCTGCCTGTGCTGGCGAGATGGGCCTATTGTGTACTTTGGAATTACATGAGTTAAAATGTGCTTTGACAGAAAATAATTAGCACTCACCAAAGGCCAAGCAATAGGTTACAGTATTTTACTTTCATCAAAGCTATCAGGGGATCGGTTAGATTAGATAATAGAAATTTTTTTCCTTCGAAAGTTAAATACAGATGACTCTAATTACCTTATATTGCACGTTAGAGAATGCATTATGATACTACAGCTTCAAGAAATGTAGGTCAACTGAGACTTCGCAGCTGGCAATGACTTTAGTATAAGCTTACAGTAATACAGAGATTTCCCCCCTTTTCGGCAGGTTCATTTGCGATGATGATGTTAGAGAGAATTTTTTGAAAGTGAAACTTGTCACTTGGTTATAAACTGTATCTGTCTCAAGCTAGGAGCTGAGCCATTGTTTGGGACTCACTGAAATCTCTGAAACTGAAAGCACATGTTCCCTATAATTTAGCTCTGGGAGGAAAGTGTCAATTCTGCATGAGTCGGAGTAACCGAGTTTGTCACAGTGTCACACAATTCTGCAATTGTAGAGGCACATCTGAGTGGTGTGGGTTTCCTTCCCCAAGCTCGGTAATCCCATAAACAACCCTCTCCAAATAGGCTTATTAGGGCTGTCTGTTCACTTCCCCAGAGTTGAATGATCCAAAGTACATCGGGAGAAGCTGTGTGAATGCAGGATAAGTGTTAACAGAAGTGGTACAGAATTTCTGAAGATTTGGCTTTGTTTATACAGTCCACTCTGCCTGATGGACAGCTTGTTATAGCTTTTAAAGAACTGGGCAAGCCCTCTGATCTGACCCCTTCTTGACCTCTGCGGCCCAAAGGTCAGTCTGCAGCTAATAAACTCTGAGGTTCTTAGAGTCTACTGTAGGAAAAAGGCAGAAAAAGAGCAGCTGCAAGGACTGGGTGTCCCAGGATAGGCTGCTTTAGGGTCACTCTCTGATAATGAAAATGATTACCAAATTATCTGGAAGTTTAACCGCAATAGAGAGTGAGGGGGGGTGGAGCCCGACGTATTAGGTTTGATAAATGGACTGTGAAGAGGCCCATCTGGCTCTCAACATCTTTTCTCCCCCCTTTCCCTACCGAGGGGAAACATTTTAAAATAACAGCAGTACATATAGACTCAATGACCCATGCGAGGAGCTGGAATGGATTAAGATTTAATGGTGACAGTGGAAGAAATTATCATTTGAAAAGTCCACCAAAGAAAAGGTACAGTTCAGTGTCCATGCCCGACTTGTTTTTCTAAATAAAATATAATAAAAATCAGTGCCTCTGTTTATTTTATGCAACTCCCCGGCATCTTTCCTAGATTGCTGAAAACTTTGAGGTCTCTGTTTATTATGGAATAATTGTTTGTAGTCAGTTTAAGGAAAGGAAGGGGCTTCCTTTTGCCTCGAACATGTCAGAATGAGAAACATTTTGTTTCTGCCTATTTGCTCAGTTTGAATAGCTTAGGTAAATCAAGTGTTAGAGAAAATGCTTCCCAAAAAAACTGGTGCACATTTCAGCATCTGACCACTGACCATTATGCAGTTTTTGATAACTGAATATGTGTGTGACTCCTGAACAGAGATGTAACGAGGAGAGGGTTAGAGGCAGGCATTTGCCCCCCGGGTGCAAGTCCAAGGGGGCATCAGATGAAGCCGGCTAGCAAACCACACGCCCCCCCCGCCCCCCGAACACTGTTTTATTTCTACTATAACTTGGCAGTTTTTCTGTAAAAATAAGAAAACACATAATATTTATTAACTGAGTATATATTTGCTCCTTTCTTTATTCCTTTTTTTTTTTGAGAAAACATGCCAGCATGCTAATCAGTGCCAATAGTGGATAGCTCACAAGCTGAATGTTGACTTACTGCTAATTGCTAAGGAAAATCTATTTAAAGCACCCCCCCCCCCAGTTTCCTGTGAATATGAAGTGTCCTGGTCTCAGAGCAGTGACACTGGACCATGAAGCTCTGTGCTTTTCAGCAGAGACGGCCGGCATGTCCCATGATTCTCCTTGCTGAAACGAGTGATTTTATTTAGTAAACATAATGTTTTTGTATCTTTTGTATACCTGCTGTGTACAAAATACTGCATGAGGTGCTGTGCATAATATAGTGTACTAGGCAGCTGGTTTAAGGATTTATCTGGCAGTGAGAATTCAGAAAGTGCCAGAAAGAGGCTGTAGAAGCAGTGGCTAGAGCCGTGCAGCCGTTGCTGCCACAGCAGAGTGGGAAGTTGCTCTGACTCTTTAAGGGAAGTAAGTAGGTGTCTTAAAGGACTAACCCGTTGCCATCGAGCCCATTCCAACTCATAGCGACCCTGTAGAACAGAGTAGAACTCCCTCATAGGGTTTCCAAGGATCGGCTGGTGGATATGAACTGCCAACCTTTAGGTTAGCAGCTAAGCTCTTAACCACTGTGCCACCAGGGCTCCCTTCAAAGACTAGAGTTGTTGTAATATAGAGAACCCCTTATACTGAACTACATTATCTACATAATACAAGTCTCACCCAGTCAATAATTATAGTAGAAAATAGAAATAAAAAGCTTCTAAACATTATCCCAAATAAGCATGTTTTTCATCTTAGGTTTGCCTTGACTATGTATGTCTGTCCATGGGGATTTAGAGTAAGCAGAAAGCTAGGTAAAGGATAATTCAGGGAGATGAGAAATGCTTAGAGAATTAACTATGCTTTTTAACTTTAAAGCTGTGCCTTTCAATTTCTGCTAAGTTAATTTCAAATACAAAAAAGAAAACAAAAGCAAGGCCATTAGACTTTTTTTTGAAAAACTGAGATATAACTTGCATAACATAAAATTTCACATAACATAAAATTCACCATTTTGAAGTGTACAACTAAGTGATTTTTAGTATATTCACAAGGTTGGACAACCTTCCTACTATCCAATTCTAGAGCATTTTCATCACCCCCAAAAGAAACCCTCTACCCTGTTAGCAGTCACTCTCAATTCCCCTTCAGCCTCTGTAACCA